TTCACTATTTTATTCTTTATTTGCGGCATAGTATGAGGCACTCCATAGTGAGGAGGACTGTTCTCCACAGGGTCTGGTCACACTGTGATCCCCTTCGAGTCCTCCAGTCCATCATATCTTCGGCACCTGCACGTGTGCCCAGCGTGTCTGAGGTGACCACGCTGGAGATACAAGCTGAGGTCACCATGTGGGATCTGGCTTGTGTCTGAGCAGCACAAGTCTGCTGTGCTGAGCCAGGCCTATTTCATCACTTTTTAAAAAAAGTTTAGACAAGTGCTTTTAGACATTTGATTTATGATACAGATTATATGATTGGGCTGCAAAACAAAGTACACAATCCTGTAAATGAATTAGTAAACGTTGAGTATCAGAGGGTAACTTACAAAAAGGGAGGGAGGAGGACAGAGTAGACAGGTGACCCTCATTCACACACAGGTTCCACCCCACCTCATTTTGTGAGTTACTCTCTGATATTCAGCTTTTACTTAGCCCTACAGAATGGTGTACTTCGTTTTTCAGTCTCAGCCCAAACACGAACAGAAATTCCTAAATAAAGCACAAACAAATTAACCAGCTAGTGTTTTTTAAAAGAATTATTTGAGGGACCAGTGGTTGGTGTAATGGCTATGTTGCTGGACTCCCATGTAGTCGACTGCAGTTCGAGTCCCAGACCCAGTGGCTTAAACTCACACTGGGTACGTGCACGTGCATGCCCAAGATCCCGAGAGGAAAATGGAGAAGGGATTGCAGTGTGGCCATCACTCTCGCTTTCTGTCTCTCTGTCTCTCTCTGTCTTTCTGGTGAGTGCACATGCCCTGTACCAAAAACCTCTCTCAAAAAAAAAAATTTATTTGATTCCACTTGTTATTTTTATTGTTTAACTTGACCAGAAAGAGACACACAGAGAGAAAGGGGAAGCAGAAAAGCAAGCTGCTTTTCAGTCATTTGGGAGTCCAGCACCTTAATCACCATGCCACCTGCTGGTCTCAAATCAGCTATGTATTAAGAGTAACATTATGTGATCAAAAAGATTTATGTAAGGACTAAATTTGACTCGATATTAAAAAACACATTACATTAACAACATAAAATGGGGTGGGGGGGGGAAATGAGAAATCCTCTGATCATCTTACCAAGATTTCAAAAAGGAGAAAAATAGCTGAAAAAGAAAAAGGTTCTTAGTTCCTTTTGGCCAGAACCACCATCTTCTAGTAATTCACCAAAATGACAAACATAAAGAGGAAGAGAAGAGATCCTGGATTTATGTTCTCTAGGCCTTTTAGAAAACATGGAGTGGTTCCTCTGGCAACATACATATGCACCTACCAGAAAGGTGATATTGTAGGTATCAAGAAAATAAGTACTGTTCAAAGAGGAATGTCCCACACATGTTACCATGGCAAAACTGGAAGAGTCTGCAATGTAACCCAGCATGCTGTCCTTGTAAACAAACAAGTTAAGGGCAAGATTCTTCTCCCCAAAATTAAAGTGCATATTGAGCTTATAAAAAGCATTCTAAGAGCAGAGACAGCTTTCTAAAATCTGTGAAGGAAAATGACGAGAAGAAGGAAGCCTAAGAGAAAGGTATCTGGGTTCAACTGGGCCAGCCTGCTCTACCCAGAGCTGCACACTTTGTGAGAACCAATGGAAAGGAGCTGGAGCTTCTAGAATCTATTCCCTATGAATTCCTGGTGTGACAGATTTTAAGAAAGAAAGAAAGAAAAAAAAAGGAAAAGAAGTTTAAAATAGTATTTTTAAAAAAGTAAAATGGCACCAAAAATATTTAAAAAATAAAGAGCTAAAATGCAAACTCTATTCCTGATAAAAAAAAAAAAAAAATTTTAGTAAATTACATGGAATTTCCTTAGCAAAAATGCACTTAATCAAGAGGCATACACTGGAGATCACTCAAGACAGATGAAACCAGAATCCCCACTGTCTTAACTGCCTTTCAGCAATATTCAGAGGTGCTAGCATGTGCTATAAGAAACAAAAGGGCATAAATGCCAGAAAGGATGGGACAAAAGAAATCTGGAACCTTTAGATTCTATGTTTGCAAACTAGACAATCAAGTGACTAAAAAATATTCAAACTAGTAATATGAGCTATATAATCACTCAAATACTGAGGAAAATAAAATGCCTATTTTTTTATGAGCTCAAGATGAAACAAATCTTTCCTACCGTGATTTCCTAGTAAATTTCCTCTATGCCAGCAACTATCATTCAGATAACAGAGAACTCCATTAATAATAAAACTATGAAATACATAAGGAAAAAAATGAAGACGTATTAAAGACCCACATTATGTTAAAATAAAAACCTATGAAGCTACTAAGACAAAGATTTGGAAAATAGATAAATGAAGTACAGGATTAAAGAAGCTACTTCTCTCCCAAATAACACATATATTGAATTCGAGTCCAAATCTCAGTGAAGTTTATTAGTTTGGCACTTGACATACTGTAAAATCATCTGGAAGAACAGTGCTTGGGAAAATAAAGATATATGAAAAAGGAATGAGAACTTTGTTTTACCTGATGTTATAAATGTAAATAAAGCTTTTAAATACAATACTGACAAATGAATATGTACACAGACAACTGAGCTCAAGAGTCCATAAACAGGGGCCAGCAGGTTGTGTGGTGGGTACAGCGATAAGACTCCCACATGGCTGACCATGGTTTGTGTCAGTCTTGGCTGCTTGCTTTCTCACTTTCTCACTTTCTCTCTCTCTCTCCTCCTCCCCTCGTGCCCTATTGTGAAACTTTTAATAGTAATAATAAAAAAATTTAATTTTGGGTCCAGTAGGTGGCACGGTGGTTAAAGCGCTGGACACTACCACATGGCTGACCATAGTTCGAGTTCCTGACCTGGTGGCTTGCTTTCTCACTTTCCCTCTCTCTCTTTCTCTCTAGTCAAATTAAAGTAAAATGAATAAATAAAATTAAATAATTCTTTAAAAATTTAAATTTTATTTAAAATTTAAGTTTTCACAAAGGAGTCTATAAATTATTTTTGATTTATGATAAAAATGGCATTTGAAATTAACAATCATTTGAAATAGCCAAATAAAATTTTTTTTTCTATTTTATAAATAAAAGTTCCAGGGGAACCAAAGCAGGGATAACACAGAGATTTTAGTTCACGAATTAGAGCACTATACTGAGAAAGATTCTGAATTCATAATTGTTTTCAGCAAGAGCCAACCCATATCTGGCAACATCTACCACGCTTGTGGAAGAGTAGTAATGCCAAATCACTATAATATTTAGACAACATTTTTTTTTTTTTTTTGGGAGAGGTTTTTTTGCTATAGGGCGCGTGTGCTCGCCAGACAGACAGAGAGAGACATAGAGACAGAAAGCGAGAAATCACACCCCAGAGGGGATGGGCACGCCGCAATCCTCCTCCATTCTCCTGAAGGGATCTTGGGCACACACGAACACGCGCCCGGCATGAGTTTTAAGCCACCGGGTCCGGGACACGAACCGCGGTCGACTACGTGGGAGTCCAGCGACATAGCCATTACGCTAACTGCTGGTTCCCGACAACATTTTTTATATAAAATATATAATCACTCAAATACTGGGGAAAATGCCCACTCTTTTTTTTATAAGTGCAAGATGAAACAAATCTTTCCTAGCATGATATCAAAGTTAAAAGTCATAACAATACAATTGATGGAGTTGACTACATAGAACGAAAAACATTCATATAGTGAAAGATTCATCAACAACATGGCAAAACAGCAGTATCATTATTAAAAGAGACACATAGGGCCAGCAGGTAGCATGGTGGTTAAGGCACTGGACTCCCACATGGCCAACCACAGTTCAAGTGTTGAACCTGGCAGCTTGCTTTCTCACTTTCTTTGTCTCTCTCTCTGTTGGCATAATGGCTATGTCGCTGGACTCCCATGTAGTTGACGCAGTTCAAGTCCCGGACCTGGTGGCTTAAACTCACACCAGGTGCATGTGCACGCATTCCCAGGATCCCCAGAGGAGAAGGGATTGATTGCAGCATGGCCATCCCCCGAGGGATAATTTCTCACTTTCTGGCTGTCCCTCCTGTCTTTCTGGCAAGTGCACGTGCCCTATAGCAAAAACCTCTCCAAAAAAAAAAAGATAATGAATGAAATAACATAATTCCTTTTTTTGGAGAGGTTTTTGCTTTAGGGCACGTGCGCTCGCCAGACAGACAGACAGAGACAGAGAGACAGAAAGTGAGAAATCACCCCCCTGGGGGGATGGCCACATCGCAATCCCTTCTCCTCCATTCTCCTCTTGGGATCTTGGGCACGCACGCACACGCGCCCGGCGTGAGTTTTAAGCCACTGGGTCCGGGACACAACTGCAGTCGACTACGTGGAAGTCCAGCGACATAGCCATTACACTAACTGCTGGTCCCCTGAAATAAAATAGTTCTAAGAGAGAGAGAAAGACATCATCAAGAGCTTTTAGAAATTGAAAAGACCTCAGTAGTTGTTCAGTAAATTGGTAAAACCTCTTTAGTGATTAATATACAATTCTTTGAAAGTGGACCCAAGAATTGGTTCTAAGGAAATAATAAGTTCGCACAGGTTTTGTATATAAGGGTATCACTGGATGGGGTACTATTTCTGTTTGTAATGGCAAACCCAAACGTCCATCATTGAGGCATACATTAAATTACAGCAATGGAACACTACACAGGCACTGAAAAGAGGAGGCAGGGCTATGTTCATGGACATGGAACTATGTTGTGATAAACTATCAACACTGTTTTTCTCCAAGGAGACATCATTTCTAGAGGATTTCACCAAAACTGGCTATGTCATTTTTACCTTTTTTGACAATGTATTATCAAAAAAGAGAAAAAAGAATGATTCCATCCACAAACTAAAAGCTTGTATATAATTACAAGAATTGTCTAGAAAATGACCTCTTAATTTTCTATGGATCCAGACAAATTATGCCTTAAATTGCAAAAATAATGAGAAAAGCCCATTTCCCCACTTACATTAGCTGGTTGCTTTTTTCAGCAGGAACGTCTGTGTCTTCACTGAGTTCCAATCTATTACGCCTGTAGGTCGAACCAACACTCAATCCATGAATTAATAATAATGAGGCAGAAAGAGTTTTCCTCCTCACATTGCCAAGGAAACCTCTCAGCCACAATTCAAACACAAGATGTGTTTTTAAAACATCTCCCATCTACTGGGAAATTAAGTCCATTTGAATAACCTTTGTCAGACTGGAGACAGCTATGGTTAGTTATCTCCTCAAAAGCAAAAAACAAAAATAAAAAGAGTTCATTTAAAGATGAACTTGAGAGTCAAAGGGTTATTTAAAAAAAAGAAAAAAAAACAATGATCCATCTTCCATAGCCGAACAATGTAATTAAAAGAGAAAAAAACAAAAAACAAAAAACAAAAAACCACCAAAATTCAATAAGATCCCCCCTCTGGTCTTCAAGATTTCTTCACCTATTAAGAAAAAAACAGAAACCTTCCCCCATCTTTATTATCTGTATAATAAAAGCATACTTGTATGTAAAAATATAAAGGATTTTATGTATATAATACACATATACACTAACTGGCGTATACACACATACACACATGTACACAAACGTGTAGAAATAAAATATCTGGGTAAGTTTCTCCTTTTAAAATACACTACAAAAGGCTTTAGATTTGGATTCATTATAAAAATAGTAAACTTACTCTTATACCAAAGTATTATGATGTACACTGAATTTTGCCCCGTCCACAAGATAAAGACAAAAGGATATCCTTACACACAAATCAATGTGTATAATATGGATGTATGCATATCATCATCACCACCATCAGGGAGTGTTTAACCAAAAAATGTAGAAACATACAGTTACAGAGTAACTGCAGAGTGGTGCAGCAAGCTGTAGAAAGCAGAGCAGCATTATGGCCATTTCAAACTGGCACTGTCAAAACACAGAGAGCTTCTACCTAAGGGAAGTTTTTTCCTTCCTCTATCAACACCAGCATCACTGGCATAACATTCAATACCAGCCCTGCAAAGGCTTGCTGTTGCAGCCTGGTTCCAAATTCTGTACTACAGATAACTATAGCTCAAGAGTGTAATTATCCATTTACTACGGTTAACAAAAGGGTAAACTTTTGGAGTCTAAATTTTATTTCACAATGGTAATTTACCATTTAAGAATTCCAAAAAATAAAAATAAAAGCAAAAATAAAAAACTACTGGGTTGTAGGAAAAGTCATGACGTATTTTTTGTTTTTTTTCCCCAAAGGTCATTTATTTAAAGAACAAAGGTCAATCAATGATATATTGTCCGTTTTGTTGGATAACCTTTTGCCATCTTTCAGTGAGCTTCATAATTCCTCGTTCATAGAAAGATCTGTCTTTAGAGGTGAAAAACTGGACAAGGTGCTGATTTACAGCCTCATCTGAATCAAATGTTATACCACGCAAAGAGTTTTGAAGAGCGCGAAACAAGTGGAAGTCTGACGGTGCAAGGTCAGGCGAGTATGGTGGGTGTGGCAACACATCCCATCCAAGCTCCAATAATTTCTGACGGGTGATCAAACTTGTGTGTGGTCTCATGTTGTGATGGAACACAATTCCTTTACGATCGAAGAGCTCTGGACGTTTCTGAATGATTGATTCATTCAAATTGTCCAATTGCCGACAGAACACATACGAATTGATTGTTTGGTTCCTTGGTAGGAGCTCGTAAAACACAACACCTTTAAAATCCCACCAAACCGAGAGCATGAGTTTCCTCTGATGAATGTCTGCTTTTGATGTCGTTTGTGGGGAATCATCACATGGGGACCAAGACCATTTGCGCAACACGTAGTTGTAAACGATCCACTTCTCATCACCAGTTATCAGTCTACTCAAAAACGGATCATTTTCCTCACGTTTAATGAGCATATCACAGATGTTTATACGCGCCGTCAAATGAACTTCTTTGAGTTCATGGGGAACCCAAATACCGAGCTTCCTTACGTATCCCAGTTTCTTCAGGTGGTGGTGAACACTTGAATGATGGATGTTCAAGGTTTCTGCAATCTCTCGTGTCGAGTAATGTGGGTTTGACTCGATCAATGCCTTTATTTTATCGTCATCAACCTCAGAGGGCCTCCCTGATCGAGGAGCAATATTGAGATCAAAATCACCAGCACGGAATTTCATGAACCATCGCTGGCACTGCCGTTCTTGTAGAGCACTGCCACCATAAACTTTACGCAACTTTTCACAAGCTTGACGTGCATTCTTCCCTTTACGGAAGTAAAACAGCAAAATATGGCGAAAATGAACAGTTTGTTGTTCCATCTTCAACTTGTGGTAAAATCTCCAAAACTCAACCAAATATTTTTTTTTTTAGAATGAAGCTAGAACTGTCAGCTGTCAAATGACATAGCAATGAGACAAATGCGAATGACTCTAGTACTTCCAAAAATGAACTAGCGCCAGCTGTTGCAAAAATGCGTCATGACTTTTCCAACAACCCAATATTTTGATACATAGAAATTAATTCTAAATTTTGAAACCAGCCCCGTAACAAAGCAATTTTGATTATGTAATAAATACTACATAATTTCTAGGCTATATCTTGCCAAATACTATCCAAGACAAACTAAAATCAAAACTTAAAAAAAGTGGACACCTTTTACTCACACTTAATACTAGTCAATTTTCCAGGAATTTTTTGGGCAGGGAATATCCCCAAATCTAAAATGAAAAAAAGGAAAAATTGGGATCTTACATTAGTTATTCAGTCTAAAACTTTTACTAGACTTTTACTAAAAGTCATTATTTTCTGGCCTCCCACTCAATTACAGAAATATACTTTCAGAGTGGAAAGAGACCTTAGAAGATCACTCACTCATTGTACCAAAGATTTCTAACTAATGAATATACTGACTGCTTATTTTAAGAACAGAGTGGCTAAACAACCTCATAGTTGAGAATACAGCTTTATGGCTCATTTAGGTTTTTTTTTTTTTTTTCCAAATCTCTAAAACAAGAGAAACCTTCTTTCAGAAATTGCATACTGGGTTTATTAAAGTACACTCGAGACTTTCATTTCAAATCTATTCAATCTTTTTTGATTTTTGCAAACTTTTTAATGTTATTTACCCATATATCAAGCAAAAGTACCTATACAATCTTTGTTTTTATTCTATTTTTAAAAAGGTTAAGAAAGGTAAGTCAAAGACTAAAAGTAATTTTTCCCTAATTATTTTCTAATATTTCCCTTTTATAAAGATCCAATCCTAAATATAAATGTTAATCAATCACTCTCAGTACTCTGACATTATAAAGCTGACCAGTATGAGGAGGCAATTAGAAATTTCCAAATACAAAACAATTTCATGGGTTTTCTTTTTGCCAAGTTGTAAGTAAGCATCAAAGTTTCTAAGAAATATAAAAATGGGAGAAAGGGAAAGGGGGAATGCTGCTTAATATGCATTTTTTCATCATTTCAATGGTTTCAGAGCAATCAAGCTTCCCACATTGGAGAAAATTTTTGCCAAAAACCAAATACTAGTTCAATCTATTGGCCAGAAATAGTCGAAGGCCTTTCAATGCTGCACTATATTTTTCTTAATTAGAAAATATTTTTTTCTCTCTCAACTAGTATAAACAAAATTTTCAAGTGCTAAATACATTGAGTTACAACTGTAAAATCTTTAATCTTCATTTTATCAACATTACATTACCTCTGAGGTATTATCAGCCCTTTCTGTGTTTTCAGATTTTCCCAGATTTGTTTGTTTTTTAAAAGAATAATTAGCAACTACAGAAATTAAGATACAGTAACATAGTAAAAAGCTGTCCATTTTAAATGGAGAAAGGAAAAAGAAATTAAGGTAGTATTTCTTTTTCATTGCTTTGAACAACTTCATTCTCAGCATCCCAGCTCAGAACCAATGTAGAATAATCATAGTTAACATTTTTCAAGTTCATTTTCAGAAACATTAGCTGTTCTATATTGTCAAAGTCCAGGCTCATGATCTGCTTTGGATGAAAGTGGCTGTTTGTAGTAAAGATACATTCAGATTGCCAACTACACATGGGACAACTTAGATACTGAATGGCAACTTGGGTCAAAGCTGGCCATACGCTCACCTTCCTCTGCCAGTAAACCAAAGGGTCATCACCTCCTGAAATCTCTGAATACTTCTCTTTGAAGTACTCATCTACCACTGCTATAGCAGAAGGGAACATGAAACTTTTGTGTGTAAGGGCAACATTGTCTGCAGTCGAGTTATCAATGGACCCTGAACTGGAAGTGCTTTCTTTTAAAGACGAGGTAAATGAATCAGTTCCTACTGTAATTGAGGGACCAGAAGCTTCTGAAGTTCCAATTTGGCAGATCTCTGGTGAAGACTCCATGTAATTGCAAACCTCTTCTGCAAGGATCTGCTTATAAGTATCTAAATCAGCACCTTGTGGAAAAAAGTCTTTCAAACTGTTTTTAAAGCAAGGATCTAACAAAGTTGCCAAGATACAGGGCTTAGATTTGAGCATGGCACTTAGTAGGGTGTCAGTTTCAAGTTTCAGAGATAAACTGTCCACCAGATTTAGGGCCTGAGTAATGCCTTTGATTTGAAAATCCTCTCTGAGTTTCTGCAGGGAAAGGAGTAAATGATGGATTAAGGGTAGCACCTGATTCAATCCTGTGGTCCTCACACTCACTTTCTGGGTGGCCTCTTCAAATGGCTTAAGAATATCACAAACGTAAGTCATCAGAGTCCACTGGAGGGAGGTGAGCACAACTCCACTAGCTCTACCAAGACTATGGTGAACTGAATAGCAATGTTCCAAGAGCCATTTTAACATGTAAAAGGTAGAAATCCAATGGCCAGTTTCATCCTGCTTCAAATTTTTCCATGGGAGTTGGTTATCATTTTGGAATTCTTGTAGAATTTGACGAGCCTTGACAGAATGACTAAAATGATGACAGGTTTTCCTTGCAGCCACTAACATATTCTCAATGCTTTTGTGCTCACAGAAAAAGTCCTGAATTACTATATTCAAACAATGCAGGAAGCATGGTATGTGGGTAAAACCACCATCTTTGATTGCATGTACTACATTAGAGGAATTGTCAGAAACAATAAAACTAGGAATAAGAAAATTAGGAGAAAGCCACAGACCAACCTGGTCATTTAATTCTTGTAAAATGCTGGTTACCAAACAGTCCTTGGCCAAACCTGTAACACAAAGCACTGCCCACTTTCTAAAATCGGGGATCTTGCTGTTATTGGGAGAAGGTGCAGTATCCAAAGAGACCCAGTGTACAGTCACAATAAAATAGTCAGTAGAAGGGTCATGGGTCCATAAATCAACAGTAAGGTGGATCTTTTGGCTCTGTACATTCTCTAAAGTTAAGAAGATTTTTTCTCTGACACAATCATATAACTGAGGTATTGCCTTGGTGAAAAGGTAAGCCTCTGAAGGCAATTTATAGACAGGGGCCACAATCTGCATGAATCTCTGAAAGGCTGGAGTTGAGAAGTAGCTGTAAGGATGCATATCCTCCACAATCATCTGAATAATGGCCTGACTTATTTGATTTGAGACTGGATTTTCACAATATGTTATTTCTCTGTCTTGTGCATGCATCAGAGTATTTTGCTCTGTAACAGGAATAGGACTTTGAGATCTATTTTCAACCTCTAACACAGGTGGTTCATCTGAATCAGAGTCACTAAGGTCCTCAGCTGTTAAATCCTGGCTGCCTGTAGACTTCTCTCCATGCAAAGCATCACTCAAGATATCATTTCTCTCAGTCTCAGCCTCATCTAATCCATTTCCACCGGCACCACTGTCTTTGTTGGCAACAGCCCAGTGGATGGGGTGTGTGGCCTGCAGGTGTCTTTGAAGCGTTGAAGTTCCTAAGTGGGAGCCTGGCCTACCTCTGCTCACACTTCTTTTACATATATTACACACAGCTCTTGAGATGTGCTGGGGATCAGTATAAAAAAAATTCCAAACTGCAGATGTCTTGGCTCTGGTTCCAGGAATTAAGGCATGCTTGACAATGTTACTTTTGATGAGAAACCTCCCCCTTTCTGCCCTCAGGGCATCAGATGCTGATTTATCACGTTTCTTACCCATGCTACTATCATCTAATGGATCAGTAGGGATATATTCAAAGCTTCCACTGCTTCCAGGAGAAGAGGGAGATAAAGACAGATCCAAGGTAAAGTCCTCCTCCCCACTAGTGACTCCAAACTTGTTGGCCCTGGTCCAGTGGGGCGAATGCCTTGCCTGCAGATGTCGCTGAAGAGTAGATGTACCAAGATGGCTGCCAGGTTTACCTCTGCTGACACTTTTCTCACAAAGGTTGCAAATAGCTCGCCAGGTGTACTGGGGGTCAACATGAAAGAAGTGCCACACAATGGAGGTCTTGGCTCTGGTACTAGGTAGATAGATCTGTTTGTCTATACTGCTGTCAAAGAGACTTTCTTCATCTTGCTCAGGCGCTCGGGAAGTTAACAAAGCAGGAGCATCTGCAGCAGGCCTCCCAGATCCCAAATCCTTACTAAACTTTTTGGCAAGGATCAATTTTTTTCGGCGCCTTTTCCCCTTAATTCGCAAACCCTTCTTTCTTTTCTTTTTAGAAGGCAATTTTGCCTCTTTATCTGCTCCTTCAGCCACCATCTTTCTCTCTACCACATCATTCTCATCTGTATTACAAATAGGAACACATCCCAGAATTCCAGCACCACTAAAAGCACTGCATCTTCTGCCGGAAGAAAGCGAAGAAACGGGTACACTTAAAGTACATACACTCATTCTGTCTGTCTCCAAAATGTGTACCAGAACGGTGTACTGCTCAGGCAGAAATACAGCTGTTCCTCTCTTCTTACATTACCTTTTCTCCAGTTTCTACGGAGAGTCAAATTCCCTTTGGACCAAGGTTTTCAAGCCAGGTTATTTTTGGAGGAAAAGTGACAGCAACGAAGAACATGCCCGAATTCTTTCGTGGAGGGCTCTTTTAGATCCCCTCTAATTTCTGAGTTCTAACTTTAAACAGTCCAATGTCCTCATGTCATAGAGAAAAACAAACAAACAAAAAACTGAGGGTCACTTTCCCAGAGTCAAAAAGTTGGTTAGCAGTTTCCAAATTCCAGATTTGTGTTGATGCTTCATCAAGAACTATACTTGCTTGAAATGCTTTTAAAATATGTATCTTTATGCTCCCTCACGATAGCAACATCGATTTCCCCTTAATTCTGAAAGTAATGGTTTTCAGGAAATTTCATTAAAACAAAAACATAGTGCATCATTTAACATCCATCACTTATGATTGTGATTCGTCAATATGACCCTAAAAGTCAATTCTGGAAAATAAATCTGACTCCACATACTGGTCGTGAACAGCGAATGCTAGTTGGGCCCTTTCAGTTCTAAATAAAAGTACTAACAGCTCTTAGAAATGTGGGTGCTGAAATAAATGCTGTGAGAATAAAACGCGTATAGAGCTGATCAAGTTTTAAGGTATTTTTAGCCTAGAAAGCTTTACAGCCTGTAAATAAGTATTTCACAAGTTTGACTCTTTTCGAATAGCAAAACTGAAATATGAGCTTTAACCCTCTTCCATTCCTTTTCGGGTGATCCCTCCCCTTCCCCCCATTACCTATATACATTTACCCTAAAAAGCATCGCTATCACTAGTTCCACAGCCTCCTTCTCAAGGTCCCGAACCAAGGCCTGGAAGATGTCAACAAAATAGGCCTTCCCCATAGGAATCCGCACCGATTATGGGAGTTTAGGGAGTGTTCTTCATTACGGGTTTCACAGATCCTACAAGGAGAACGGAAGTGTCCCTGTTGCTCTTGACTCCGATGCGGAGGGCTGGGGGTGGGAGTGCAATTAGGGTGGGGAACGGGCGTGGGATACCGAAATAAGGTTAGTGGCTTTCGGTACGCTGGGTTAGAGAAAATCTCCAGGAGGTGGGAACCTGGAGAGGAATGAGAGCAGCACGTTCAGCTCCGGCCGCTCGGTCTGACTTAGGCACTGAGGGGCCGCGAAACCAGAGAAGCGGTTGCCCGGGAGAAGGCCATCTCGCCGGGCGGGCGCCGGGCCTCGGCCGGCTGTCGGGCCCCGCTCGGGCTCCCACGGTTCGGCCGACACCGGATGTGGGGGAGGGGAGGAAGGGTGGTCCGGAAGGGAGCGGGCGCCGCGGGTGGGGGCGGGGTGGCTCGGACTAGTGCGCGGGAGCCCGGGGCTTCCAGCCCCGGGC